CAAACTGTTATGCAAAATTCTTTACAAATATACCCTGCACACACCTGAAACAAACAAACTATATTATTGATATGCAATGAACACTGCAATGTATGCATATAACTGTAGTAGCAAAAAGCACCGCAGCAACAACAACAGCAACGAAAACACTGTCGACAGGGCTAATTACAAACACGAAGGCACAGTTGGCCACAAAATCACCGATAACAACCGCCAAAGTGTCGGGCGAGCCACCTACAACAGCGAAAATAGCAATGCCAACAACATATGCAGCGACAACAACAACTACAACAAGYGGCATCGCGTGGTCTGTGCCAACGGCGGAGCTTACAAGCACAACAACAGCACAAMAAACGACGACAGCCAAAGCGCCCGCAACAAAAACACCGCTTATGACTACAACAACAACAACATGGCCACCCACAACCACGAACACCACACTGACAATGTCAAAACAACAACAACAACAACAACACAAGCCCACCGCCATGATGGAATTAGTGACGGGCACAAAATCAAAAAACGTCACGTCAGCCCACACTTGTTGGGACGCAAACGGAAGCGCGTACGCTTCGCCGCCTAAATGSCCGAGCACCGTTAATCAGTTGCATGGGCGTAAAGCAGCCGAAGCAGAAAGCGTGCCCACAACCGGCTTCACAGCACTTGCACAAACGCACACGCGACGTTACCGCTACGGCAGCGATGAGGACATACTGGCGAAYATAACGAAGAGCAATGAGCGACTCGAACGCGAATTGGCCAAAATGCCACCACTACCGACCACCATGTCCTTCTCGGCGTATCGCCGTCAACAGCGTTGCGCACATTTATATCGCACACCGTTGGCCGCTTACCGGCCGCGTAGCGCCAGCGATGAGGGACGCCGCGTGGCGGCGGTGAGCACAGAAACGCATTGCGGTCGCTGCGGCGCTAACGGCGGYATCTACGGCACACATTGTAGTTGTAGTAAACACATGAAACACGTAGTGGCTAGTGCACAATTGGAGCCAACGGCATGCACATCATGTTGTTGTAGTGCAAACAAAGYAACCGCGTGTAAGCAAACACTTAACACTGAGGAGYGCCAATTTTCATTTGGTAGCGCGCACGCTGTGAGCCGCCCAGAAAGTAATTTCATTGTGTACCCAACGAACGCAACAAATATAGACACAACAACACCACCAGCAACAGTAAATGCAAGCGCCAGAAGCCGCAGCTTGTATAGAAATTGCCAAMATTTTGCTTGGAATGCGCASGCMTCGGCCACAATTAGCACGTCCGGCAGTGGCGGCTGTAAAGCGCACAATAGACTAAACGATTGCAAGGTGTCAGCAGAAGCAAAAACTYCATTGACGGAGCAATCGAGTTCTAAAAGAGCTCCTTCGCCTACTATACACCCGTTAAATACAGCCCAGCCGTCTTTACAGAGCACGAATCATACGCGCACACAATGCTCCTGTGCGGCTGGCTGCGTAAGTGTACCAAAACTCTGCACCGCCTGTAAACCACAAGCATCAGCGAATATTTGCGCCTCGAACACATATCAAATGCCTACATGTCACCCCACCTATGAKCATTGCAAAACGGAACCGTTGCCTTGGCTGCAACAGCATCTAGTTTTGAAACAAACTTTTAGTGGTCTCGAACACCTAACGGCCGCCGCAGACGTTTGTCACGCATGTCAGAGCCCATGTCAAGGTGAACACTTGACGGTGCCAACTGAGAGCAAAGCAAACACGCATGTAGCAAACGAACACACAGCCGGCACGTCAGAAAGCGTTAAACGGCCGGCRYCAACAACGAAGAGCAAACCACGCGCCTACTTCGAGGAGTTATTGCGGCGCGACGAATGTTGTGGCATGAAGAGAGTGAGTAGTAATATGCTGCGCGATTGCATGAGTCAGGGGGAAAAGCTCGTGCAGCAGAAGAAGCCACGTCCGCCTGTTAAAGTGGATGTAAATGTGCGTTTGGTGTCCAAACCGGGCAAGGAACGCAAAGTCGACGCCGACACAGGAAATACAAGTGCTAAAACACCACTCGAAGTTAAAGTTAACTTGACACAGGCTGCGCCAGCGACAAGTGAACGTATAAAGGAGAGCGCGCAAAGCGCTCGAAGTGAAGCGCTCGCCTCAGCTTTGGACATACCCGATCTGCCGTTGGACGATTTCGAACTAGACGATAGCGATGTAGCTGCCAATGTGGAGCAATAATTTTTGATTCACTTTTAGCTTAACGGTTAATATCTACATCTTTTACTTACATACAAAAATAGTTCAGCAAAAACTTCGTTAATATTTCTTAAATATTTCGTAGCGTTTTAATTTTAGCGTKGTGCAAATGCTCTTCCCATCTAGAAACTTACTATTATATGAAAACTTGATTTTATATTTTCCATATAACATTTGTTACTTTAGCGAAGAACGTCTGCGTTTGCGTGAAACGAACGAGAAGCTAATGGATCGGCTAAAACAAATATGGACCAGCTATAAGGAGTTACACACGGAACGGGCGGCGGCGGCTCAGCAGCGTAGTTTGACGCGTCCGAATGAGGGCCGTGGCTCCAATAGCGATACYGCAGAATCCACAGGGGAAGAGCATTTTTCTGCGCGCACTTATAATATAGACAAGGTAATTGCTTTATGCGACTTACTAATCGACTGTTTTTCTCTTCTCTTTTCTTCTTTTTTCTCACCTTTCTGCTTTAACTYTCTCTTCTATCTTTTTGCTTCTTAAAAAACAAAAATAATAATAATACTCTCTCTATGCGAACCAAATTATGTCACTTCACTGAACRTATCTTCATAGAACGGAAATATCAACTTTACAATCGAATGTAGAATATTTAACCAATCGCATGCTAAACAGCGAGCGTCTGGGAAAGTTAGATAGTAATCCGATTTCCTACGGCAATCTACAAAGCGCCAAAGGTAAAACAAACTAAAGAGCGTAGTCTCTGTTTTATACTTATATAACATTTACAGAATATAGAAATCACATCCAAATAAACATAGTTCTCACTTACTCTCAAAGAGCAAAAATACACGAAGAAATAGGGAAATATTCGTCGATTGAAGGGATGACATAGAAGCAAACTATGGAGTACATAACTAAAGCCTGCCAGAAGATGGACGAGAGATAAATTGTATTTGAAGCTTTCTATGGAATAATCCGTTGTTCTGTTTTCTGTGTGATTTTTTACTTAAAACTCTTGAAACCAATGGCTTCAGATAGTCGTCAGTCACTAGATCACCTCTAGTATGTTTCTGTCTTGAAGCCTTTTTTTTGTTTTGAAGCTGTATGCTTTCGTAGAATTTTCGAGCATTACCTCTGTGGGGCAGTTCGTCAAGCTCTTCGTACTCACGCATTTCGGCCTCTCTCTTGGTTTGTCTGCAAGATCGCTCGCTTCTCTCTTCAACTCTATGGTCGATTGTAATGTTGCGAGGTAGGCAATCTATTTTATCACCACTGCGACGCAGCACTCCTCATTATACTAGCTGTTCTTTTGCCTTTTCCGAAAATCAAAGGTTAAGCTGAAGACGTGTCTTCCGTCTATGTCCGATCTTTTTTCGATCCAGAAACAACCAGGTAGTTTGATGATATTTCCTAATCTAGTTCTACAGATAACCATATTTCGGGCGCAGCGAAGTCGATCAGCCTCAATCCATTTGGTGATGTTTAATCATGAAGGCTGAATTTACCGACCGTTGATGCCTTCTTTGCCCACCCTGGCATTAAAGTAACCAAGCGCGTTTGACAAAGTGGCGGGGTAGTGCTTATAGGTGCACTTCAASTGCTTATAGAAGAAATTTTTAGTCACATCCTCCTTCTCTTCCGTTGGCGCATGGCCGTCAATTATCAATATGTTGAAGAACTTTGATACGGATTGTGGCTAGATGTTTATCCAACGGGGAGGACTGCCAGGACT